AGTTACTAGAGAAGATCTTGTCACCATATATACAAGTTTTGTCCGACCCACTTGTGAGTACGCTGTCCCAGTTTGGCAACCAGCCATTACACAGTCCCAAAGACGTCAACTGGAAAGAATACAGCGAAGGGCTTTTCGAATCATCCTTGGGCCTGACTACACAACCTATACTGACGCTTGCAACACGCTATGCCTCATGACACTACAGCAAAGACGTGAACACCTTTGTCAGACATTCGCAAGAAGACTACTACAGTCTGAGTCCTACCGGAATTGGCTACCCCCTTCCGGGGAGACGTCAGTGGTAGAAGAACAAGAAACAGCAGCCTATTGGACACTATTAAAACACGAACTAATCGTTACAGGAATAGTCCCATACCCTATCTTGTAACACTCTTCAACAATAATGCAACCAGTATTTGCAGTTTCGATTCAAATATGTTGTAATGCACATATGTTAAGTTTGGGAGAAGAAATTCATTAGATTTTAATTCTTATGTAAAGATCTTTACCTGACCTGAATTATCACCTTGAACGTATTAGATTTTGACGTATGGTCTCAACCATTGCATGATACGAGAATTCATCAATAATTGGAGATTATTTTCTCATAATGTTTTTTACAACGGCCCTGACTCGAATGTTTCAATGATTGCTAATACAGTCAAACCTGTACTAGCGGTCACCTTGGCATTGCGGTCACCCGGCCATAGCGGTCGGTTTTTGCCGGTCCCTTGAATTTTTCCCATTGACGTAAGCATTAAGAATCGCGTATATAGCGGTCACTGTTCAACGCGGTCAGCGGTCACCCCATTCCGGTCCCGCCGGCTGTCAACACCGCCGATAGCGGTCACGGCTGGCCGGCAGTTACCCGCTAAGCACCACGTACGTAACACCACCCGACCTCGGGCTACGGCCGTTAGGACGTTCAATCAAGCCTTGTGATAATTTTGTGGCCACTACATTATTAAAATGTGAACTGAAATTAGACTCCAGATGTGTATGAAATAAAGGAAAACTTGATTTTGACACGAAATTTTTGCGGTCGCTCGTGTTGACGTGCCGCGGTGCTTTCAGTGGACTCGGCGAAGATTGCGGCAATCATCCTTACAAAAAACTTACGAATATCCATATTTGATTTTTCGATTCCTTGAAAAACATAAATATGTTGCCAACTTCCCTTTTTCACGGGCATAATTCAAGAAATTTGGGCTGAGAAAATGCGTTTCGTGATTTTTCAAAATGGCGCAGGCTGCAACAACAATCAGGTCAATTGGGGTCATCGGAAGACTCCATTGGTTTAGAGGTAGATGTACCGACTTTTATTTAATTTTATAGCATCAAATGGCGTGACTACATTACAAAAATATTTGGAATACATTATTAAAACTATTTTCCATCGTAAACTTAAGTCTGTAGTGAATATTCTACAAAATATGTAAGCCTGAAAGGAGCACTATTTTTGTTGACCACCACATTGGCATAATGGCAGAGGCAGACAACCCACGCCGGAAGAAACCCAAGCCGTAAACAAAGGAAAGTTTTCGCTACGTTTTCATGTTCAAAAATGACCAAAAAACGGAAACTAAACGGCAACAGATGAACAATTATTTTGCTGTTAACTAAATGGACAGCATCTTGGTACAAAAAATCTTGTTTACATGGTTGGAATTCGTTGTGGCGATGTCGGTCATGCGAAGCACTCACCAAAGAACAAAAACATGGCGATGTCATAATTTCTCTTCCACTTTTCGACTTACGGTACTAGTAACGTGGCGATTGCGGAGAAACGATGGCAAAAGCGGAAAGACAGACGTCGAACTTGTTCCACAAGGTGGATGTGATTCAACTGACAGCGAGTGAGAAGGAGCTTAGATTAAAGGAGTTTGCAGTCGGAAGAAACATGGCTTGGAGTCGACAGAAACTTTGTTGCTTGATTCGCTTTCAAGTTTTCTGTAGGTAACATCGATGTTACACGTACACAAGAACAGTAAATGGCAACCAGTGATTTTGTATATTTTAGTGGGAAGGTTTCATAGTCCCAGTAGATCAACTGAGTATCATGTCGAGTGCATGCAGTTTTGAT